ATCCAAAGCTCTTGCAATAAGATTTTTGCTTTGGTAACTAGTGGGGCTAGTAATCCAAGAGGATCAAAAAGGCGAGCGGAGACTGACAATATGTTCCGTTTAGTGGCTCGCAGATCAGTAAAGTTGGCATCCAAAACAAAACGAAACAAATCCTCTTCGGCAACCAATGGATTCCTAGTGTTTTAGTTGAATTTTTGTCATTGAAACTTAATGACTTTTCAGTGCAATATCAGTCGAAAAATTTAGGGTGGTTCGAAAACCACTTCGTTAACGTGAATCCTGCCGAGTTTAATATTTTAATTACTTCACTTCTTATAAGATCTAGAGACTCAAAATTTTCAGATCCTGTCAATAAGTCATCGACATAAAAGTCTCTTTTWATGGCCAATGAACCGAGTGGGTATTTAGTGCTATTAGCAWCGCTGAGCATTTGTAAACACCGTGTTGCGAGAAATGGTGCAGGCGCAGTGCCGTAAGTGACGGTGTTAAGTCGAAAAATTTTAATATACTCTGAGGGATGCTCAGCATTGGGTCACATGAGCCCAACGAAYAATRAGATCCCGAGTGAGCCACACTACTTCATTCCGCATCAATGAGTTTTAAGGCCCGAGAGCACAACAACCAAATTACGTGTTGTCTTTGTGACCGAGTAACTTACGGTCAGCTTTAAAAGGCATTCTTACTTGAAGCCGTCCTGAAGGCAATACTTGAGTTGTATTTACGAAAAAATGTTCACACTCTTGTTGCTCTTGTGTGAATTTGATGCCATTTGAATCTGAAGGTAATTCTTCAAGGGCCCAAAATTTTTAGATTACTGAATATATTGACGTAAAGTCTTTTTCAGCTTGGCATAATTTGCTATGTAATCTGGGAGGAGAACTTATGTTGCTGCCGTATTTGCCAGATACAATCCATCCTAAAAGGGTTTTCTGAAGTGTTGGCTGGTTAGGACCATTTTTAATTTGGCCAACAGCTAAATGGTCGAAAAATGTTTCAGCACCCAAAAGGATATCCACTTTTTTAGATTTGTGAAATTCTGTGTCCGCCAATTCAATATTGTGCGGAATTTTCCAGCCACTAACATTGATGTTATGGTCTGGATGATTTGCCGAAATGCATCGCATTACTCAGAATTCTGCCGAAAATTCATAATTATTTAACCGCGACTTGACAAACGCGCTTAGTTTTGACCCCACTTTTGTATTGGAATTGCCGACGCTTAATGTTTTGTGCTGACGTCGAATCCGCAACTTCTGTGCCAAGTCCTCCGTCATGAAGTTGACCTGGGAGCCTGAGTCCAGCAACGCTCTCGCAGGCAGGTAATCTCCACAGCTGGTCCCCACTAAAATTACTGCTGTTGCCAACATTACCCGATCCGGCATACTTGCTGTATGCATGGCATGTGTGGTTGATGGTTGCGGATGAGGTGCAGCGGGGAAGGAAACTGGATACTGGTGCAACAGCGAGTGATKKGATCSATTGCATATCMGGCAACGATCCGCTCTSCATTTGKAAACSGTATRTCCCTTACGCAAGCAATTTATGCATAAGGGTACCGATTTGACGAACTCGAATCTCTGTTGCACCGGAAGAGCCTTGAAAGTAGGGCAGGCAGTTAGATGTTGATCCTTTGATTTGCACTGTTGACAACTAGGCTGCCTTGTGTTTGCAGCAACTAGCGCCGATTTGGTCCTATCCATTTGTTGTTGCTTCCCATGATTCATACTGCCTGTTGGTATGGGCTTCGTCCTTAAGTGTGTTGCTCCTTCCGCTGATAACTGCTGGAATCTTCGATTTAGGGTGGCTTCACATTCCTTCCACAGTGGCAGCTTGTCATAATCCAGCGCTTCTTCCCATTTGGATCGGGTGGCAGGGTCAACCTTTGTCATTACAATGTGTATAATAATAGCGTTTGTTATCTGTTTGTCATCGCCCAGCGATAGCAATGAGTCATATACCGCTGACACTTCGTCAATCATTGATCGCAATGAAGGCGCGGATGGCTTTGGGATGGTTGGCAGCTCAAAAGGTTTAGATATTGTATTAAAAAATATCAAACATATATTATCATAAACTTTTTTTAGACTTGCCAACGCTTTCGGGTAATTTTCATCCGACATCTGAAACGCTTTTACTGTTCCCAAAGCCTCTCCAGATAGACAATTTACCAAATGCCTAAATTTTTCAATATCTGGGATATTTGGATCATTATGAACCAAGCTCTCGAACAAACTCATAAAATTTTTGAATTCTGAGTATTCTCCCTTGAATTTCGGCAAATTCATTTTAGGGAGCCGTGAGCTGTGAGAAGGAAGTTTCTGCAAGTGAAGTTTTATTTTTCGCTAAAATTAACTTAATTATGGATTTCGTTTCAACGATTATGTCCTCTAACTCCCCTCGGGCCATGTCGCCTTCATCAATTTCTTCAATCGCTGATTGGCACTTCTTTAATTTTTCACTATGTGAATTTAATATATCGAGACGACATTCCAATTCTATTGGATCTAAAGACATAGTCTTTTCGAGAAGGCCCGTTTTAGGCGCAAAATACTGCTTTTCGCAACCGTTCTTTGACGTCTTAACGATTTTAAGTCCGTCAACTCCTTACTTGGAGACAGGTTTGSGAGAGTTGGCTTTGGCTTGCTCATTTTGCCTTATGTAAGTTGGCAACAGATATATTGAGAATCGACAACGAAAACGAAAAAATATATATGTATATCGATTTCCAAAATATACGAAAGCCAAACCAATAAAGTATGAGAAATGACCAATAGCAGTAAAGGTTGGCAACAAATATATTTGGAATCGGTAACAAAAACGAGAAAAGATAATATCGATTCCCAAGTATACGAAAGCCAAATCAAAAAATGAGCAATAGCACAATAAGTAATTTAATCGGAAAATGTCCGAACGAAAATCGACAAAAATTGCGAAAAACCGACCGATAATTATAAAAACGGATCGAAAAAATTGCGAAAAATTTAATAAAAATGTACCACCTTTATTTCAATTAAAGGGCTACCGCAAAATCCCAGAATCCCTTATTCACTTTGAAATCGTATATGTGTATGTGTGTAACTGTATGTATTTATGATTTGATTTTCAGCAATCACACCGCACGTTTCGTTTTTGTTTTTACTTCTTTTTATTCTTTTAAAAATTTGGTAGCACACACTCTATATCACGTATGTATATAAATTTGTACGTATATTTTATTTATTGTAGTTAATTTTTTCCTCTTTTCTTTTATAATTTTTGTTGTTATATCACTTCACTCACTCGAATGTAGATATAGAATATGTATTTAACTATTTATTATTGTATTTTCTTTTCGAGTATATAAGGAACACTGCACTTTGAAAGGAACACCTTCACTTGTATGTAACTTTTTGTTTTTATGTTTGTATATCTTTTGCTTTTCAGCCCTTTTTTTAATGTGTTTAAATTTGTTCACCACTTCCACTTAGCCGAAAACCGAACACCGAAAACCGATTGGAAAGGAATTAAATACAGGTAATTGGTTTGAAATATTAATTAATGCACTTCTTTGACACTTTTTAAGTGTATTTTAGTTTTAATTTTTTAATTACGCACTTGTCCCTGCTCGGGCGCCATGAAAAGTCTCAAGCGTTTTTGAGATGCGAAAAATAGTTAGGGATGCGCAATGCAATTTTAAAGAACACTCCAATTACCTGTCGCGAAAAAAGACTTATAAATTACTCCGGTAACGAAAAAGCGTGCGTTCGGTTTCGCGATTCAATTCAAGAGAGCCTTAATTTAATTTCATTTAGTTGCTTAGCCTAAATCTTAAAACTAACGGCTTAATCTAGTGGTAATATAAGTATGTGTAACAAGAGGGGTAAGTAATTATCTTTCGTTAAATATTGTAATAGATGAATTAAGGTAAGTAATAAATGAAGGTCATATAAATGTATTATTAAGGTAAGTATATTATTTTGTACAATTCAATATTTATTCATTCAATTTCATCAGTTTAATAATTTAGCATTTCATTTTCTTAAATTTAGTTTTAAAATTACAAAGATGTCGCTTGGCGCAAGAAATATGTTATGTTTTTAGTTCATCAAAGTGTAAAATTGTTGAATTTAAAATTCAAATTTTACCAATCGTTATTGCATTTATTAAATTCTGCAGTTCACGTATAACACATTTATTTCATTTTCCTTTTATTTTCCTGTTTGTCGTATCTTTTTCTTCTTGATTGGCGTAGGCACCGCTTACGCGATTATATCCGAGTTAACAACAGCGCGCCAGTCGTTTCTTCTTTTCGCTACGTGGCGCCAATTACATATTCCAAGTGAAGCCAGGTCCTTCTCCACTTGGTTCTTTCAACGGAGTGGAGGTCTTCCTCTTCCTCTGGTTCCCCCGGTGGGTACTGCGTCGAATACTATCAGAGCTGGAGTGTTTTCGTCCATCCGGACAACGTGCCCTAGCCAGCGTAGCCGCCATTGTATAACCCTACAAGTAACAAAAGAATCAGCTGTTTTCCAAGAATTTTTCACAGCTAAGATCACCTGATAGAAATCAGCCTTTTTTAGGCACAGAGATGTAATTAAAAGAAATGTAGTAGATCAACTTTTTTGTGAAAAAGTATTTGTAACGGAAAACATTAATGAAAACTTTCAAGAATATTTCTGAAACAAAAGTTTGTTGGATATTTATTGCTCTTCCTAACCTCCTCTGAAGTTCCAATGTAGGCGCGCTACCGATCTTTTTTGGGTGTTCGGTTCCCCAGGGGGCCTAATTTCACCCTTTTTTATATATACAGTTTTAAATCAATCTATTGTACTTATTATAAAAAATATGACTACACAAAAATAAATATATCAAGTCAGGTACAATTCATGAATATTAATAACATTAAAAATATAACTGGAAACTATTTATATATACATACAATTCAGGAACAACAACAATAATATTCAAAACAATATACTAAGTAATAAATAATATTTACAAAATAATCTAAATAACCCACAGCGAAAAAAGTATTAAAATCCCTATCAAAGGAATAGTGGTGGAAAGAAGGATCCTATATCTGGTACACGAAAACACTTAAAAAACAAAAAATAGTTGATAATAAGCGTATAAACCTAATCGCTAAAATTTCCATTTCAAAATCACAGATCAAGGTAACTATGGAAATAAATATTTTTTTATAATATTGGAAACATTTAATAATATATTAATGCAATAATTAATATTTTGGACAAAACTGATTAAATTTAATATTTAGGAATTTAAATAATCGAAAAATATTTGAATATTTTATAAAAATATTGTTAAAGTTATAAATTTTAAAACCTAACACGGCAACACACTATAGCAGATTTGAGGCATTTGAACGTTTTAGTAGTAGAATATTTGNTATTTAGGGGCAACCCGTACCAAGTGCCTAATTTGTAGTAGATTTTTGCGTATGTGTAAGTGAAAAATGAAGGATTGGTTACTTGTAGATTTATACAATGACAAAAACGGAGAAAAAAAATTTTGACCAATTACAAAGAGTGACAGCAKTTGTCAATAGCAATTTGTTAATACAAAAATCGAATTGCCATGTCGGAAATTAATTTGAATACTATACTGCTTCATGTCATTATACTATATATTAACAAGTTCATGCTAATGTTAACAAACTTAATAAAATTTAAATTTAAATTTTCCAGGCCAAGTGGAAAAATAATGGGAAACCAATGATCACAATTAAATAATAACATACAGCATAGTTTAGTCAAAATATGAAGTTGTGACATCCGTTGTTACTGTGAAGGTATTATTAACAGATTGTTTGTTTTGAACTTTATTGTTGGACATAGCGATTATTATTTTAGTTAATTTTAGATTTATGGTAACTGTGGCAACACTGTCTGTCTTGCTGTCTGTGCCATTTGCCAAAGGAACCGACCGACCACCAAAAATATAGGAAACAAATGTAGACTCYCAGGCATTATATAACCCTACAAGTAACAAAAGAATCAGCTGTTTTCCAAGAATTTTTCACAGCTGAGATCACCTGATCGAAATCTGCCTCTTTTAGGCACAGAGATGTAATTAAAAGAAATATAGTAGATCAACTTTTTTGTGAAAAAGTATTTGTAACGAAAAATATTAATAAAAACTTTCAAGAATATTTTTGCAACAAAAGTTGATTGGATATTTATTGCTCTTCCTCACCACCTCTGAGGTTGCAATGTAGGCGCGCTACCGATCTTTTTTGGGTGTTTGGTTCCCCAGGAAGCCTATTTTCACCCTTTTTATTGTATATACAGTTTTAAACCAATCTACTTATTATAAACAATATGACTACACAAAAATAAATAACATTGGCAATATACTTCGAAACTATCAACTGGAAAATATTTAAACCAATAATATAAATAAATATAAAAAATTCAGGTACAATTCCATTGTATGTATACATTAACAATACAAGTCTTAACGATCGGCTTGTGTTAATTTTAACAAAAATAAAAATTAATATAAAAATTCAAGTACAATTCAGGAACAACAACAATAATATTCAAAACAATCTACTAAGCAATAAATAATATTTAGAAAATATTCTAAATCACCCACAGCGAAATACTTACTAAAAACCCTCTCAAAGGAGTAGTGGTGGAAAGAAGGTTTCTACACGAAAACACTTAAAAAAAAATATACTGATGATAAGCGTACAAGCCTAATCGCTAAAATTCAGATCAAGGTAACTATGGAAATGCGGCCTTCGACAAATAAACTTTTTGACAAATACAAAGTAATTCAAACTGACAGACATATATACATATAAATTCCGACTCATATAGACAGACAAACGTAGATGTAACACACAAGAACTTTACGTTTTTGAAATCACTTTGTTTTACTTTTTTATTAAMAGCGTTTACTAGGAAATATGTTCTAATTCTAATGAATAGACATTTTATAATATCAGAATTACAATTTTCACAACAATAGTACGGTTTTACGTTAACCACTTTTTCAAATAATATTTGGRAAAACCCGATCCTATGGCAAGTAGAATCAAAATGTTGTGTATAAATATCTTCGATTTTTGATAGAAAATCTATAAATTCAATTTGGCAATTACTATATTGTTTATTTTGAAGTGAAGAAAAAATCATCTTCAGTAATACCACCAACAAATATGTTGTTTAAAATATTTATAGTACAAATAACCGCAAAAATACATAAAAGCATTTTTATGTAGAAAGCTGCTTTCATCTACGTCCACATTTACCTCGATTTGTATATTTTGAAATGAGGTAGAACTGTTAGGTCTTGGTAAACTTTGAAAAGTTTGTCAAGAGGTATTTTGAATCAAAGCGTCGTTGCAGGCGTTTTTGAGGGATCTATTAGAAAATGACAGTTCGCAGTTTCCTTTATCTACACAACGAATATATACTATGCCCCAGGCTTGTCTGAAAAGATATGAGAAACGCTGCGGAGTTATTCTAACATCAAAATACACAGTTTTTACACAAATATTATATAAATATTTTTTTTTATAAAATTGGAAACATATAATAATATATTTTGGACAAAACTGATTAAATTTAATATTTGGGAATTTAAATAATCGAAATAAAATATTGTTAAAGTTATAAATTTTAAAACCTAACGGCAACACACTATAGCAGATTTGAGGCATTTGAACGTTTTAGTAGTAGAATATTTGGGGCAACCCGAAGCAAATGCCTAATTTGTTGTAGAATGTATAGGGACAACCCGTACCAAGTGCCTAATTTGTAGTAGATTTTTGCGTATGTGTTAGTGAAAAATGATGGATTGGTTATTTGTAGGTTTATACAATGGTAGCCGCTGTCTTTTAATTCGCTGAACTATGTCAATGTCGTCGTATATCTCGTACAGCTCATCGTCCATATTCGCCGTGGCCAACGCGCAAAGGACCATAAATCTTTCGCAGAACTTTTCTCTCGAAAACTCGCAATGTCGACTCATCAGTTGTTGACATCGTCCAAGCCTCTGCACCATATAGCAGGACGGGAATTATGAGTGACTTACAGAGTTTGGTTTTTGTTTGTCGAGAGAGGACTTTACTTCTCAATTGCCTACTCAGTCCGAAGTAGCACCTGTTGGCAAGTGTTATAATGCGTTGTATGACTGTCAACAGCGACGTGAGTGCCAAGTCGCGAGTGCGACGAGTTTTTGTTTGATGACAGGAGATATTTCGTCTTGCCCTCGTTCACTGCCAGACCCATTTGCGTTGCTTTCTTGTCCAGTCTGGAGAAAGCAGAACTAACGGCGCGGGTGTTGAGGCCAATGATATCAATATCATCGGCATACGCCAGCTGCTGTACACTCTTATAGAAGATGGTACCTTCTCTATTTAGTTCTGCAGCTCGAACTATTTTCTCCAGCGGCAGGTTGAGGAAATCCCACGATAGGGAGTGGCTTTGTCTGAAACTTCGTTTGGGAACGAGCGGCTCGGAGAGGTCCTTCCCGATCCTGATGGAGCTTTTGGTGTTACTCAA